TGAGTGAAGCCCGTGACCTCTTTGAAACCCTCCTGACCTCTGCCCGGGCATTTTGGGGGGCTGAGGAGCCACCAGTGCCCAGCGTAGGACAGTACCTGCGGGAGGAGATTGCTCGGAGGGTCCCCATTTTGGAGGGGAGTGAGGAGGAGAATGCTCAGCGGCTGCAACTGGCCATCCTCGCTGCCTGCCTCAAGCTGGAGTGCTGCATCAGCGGGACCCACAGCATGGACCTGGTGGCCCTGGAGCCCTTTGGGGAATACGTCTCCCTGCCTGGCCTGGACTGCACCTTCCCAGGGTAAGCACCGGGCTCTGGAGTGGGGGAATGCAGAAGAGCAATTCAGGGTGCAGCCCATCCCCAGCAACACCTCCTCCTGCAGCGGCTACAGCCGCTTTGCCCCATCCATGTCGTCGGCTCTGCCGGAGGGCACCATCCTGCTAAACAAGGCAGTGAAGACCATCCGGTGGAGAGGGTCCTTCCGCCAGGATGGGGACGAGGCCAGGGATTTCCCCATCCAGGTGGAATGTGAGGACGGAGATGCCTTCCTCGCCGACCACGTCATCATCACCGTCCCGCTGGGTGAGGACACCACCACCTTTCCTCGCCCTGCCTGTCCTCTCCAACCACTTGGAGATGGGCAGATGGAGGGCAGGAGCTTGCCCAAACCTCTTCCCAGCCTCCCCGTCTCCCACTGTGGTTCCATCAGGGGGAAAGCGGGAGGCTGGGAAGGGGTTTCGGGAAGGGAAAGTATCTCAGACCCCACTTAGGAGCCCATTGAACAGAGCTGCCTCATCTTCTGCCTGTAGGTTTCCTCAAGGAACATCACCAGGACTTCTTCCAGCCTCCACTGCCAGAGCGGAAAGCAGAGGCCATTCACCGCCTGGGTTTCGGCACCAACAACAAGATCTTCCTGGAGTTCGAGCGGCCTTTCTGGGAACCCGAGCAGCAGCTCCTCGAACTGGTGTGGGAGGACGAGTCACCCCTCGAGAAGCCCAGCGCTGACCTGGAGGCCAACTGGTTCAAGAAGCTCATCGGATTCGTGGTCCTCCAACCGCCAGAGCAGTACGTGGCCAGGAGCGTTGGCACAGGGTCATTGCAGCCTGGGGAGTGTGGGCATCTTCTGGGCAATGTGAAGGAGCAGGGTCTGTCAGGAGCTTCAAGACCTTCTCTGGGTGGCCCGTGACACAGCAGGAGGGCAGCAGGCAGCTCTCAGCCCCATCTTTCCTCCCCAGGAACGGGCACGTCCTCTGCGGCTTCATCGCAGGGAAGGAGTCGGAGTACATGGAGACGCTGAGCGACACAGAGGTTCTCAGCACCATGACGCGCGTCCTCCGCACGCTGACAGGTACCGCCACCGCCTCCGCCCTCGTCACCCCAACCTCCCCGGGGAAACGTGCACCCCAGTTTCTGGATCCCACCCAAAATCCGCACCCACAGGGAACCCGCACCTGCCCGCTCCCAGGAGCGTGCTCAGGTCCCGCTGGCACAGCGCGCCCTACACCCGGGGCTCCTACAGCTACGTGGCCGTCGGCAGCTCGGGAGATGACATCGATGCCCTGGCTCAGCCCCTGCCCGAGGACCCCAAGGACCCCAGGGTAATTGCTTTAGGCCTGAGGGGGATGCTGCAGGTATGGGGACAGAAGAACAGGGGTGGGACCAGGGTGCCTCAGGCCTCAAGCACAGGGAGGTGGCATTCCCCACTCCTGCTCCATTCAGTGGTCATTGATGCTTGGGTCACCAATTAACCCCCTTGGCTCTTCCTGCT